ATGAGTGAGAAGTAAATTTGCAGAGAAGTTGAGGAGATCCACGGTGGCTGCGCCAAACTCGTTGTGAAAGATCAATTTGGCACGCCTCAGGGAGTGACCTGCTGCACAGAAGAGTCGCGGCAACACTGAGGCAAGGAACCCGGACTCAAAGTCGAGATGTGTGAGGCGTGGCAATGAGAAGGGGGTATTGCGCAGCTCCTCTATTTGCGGATCCACATTTATCGCAGCTGCTATGGGGAATGAGTACTCCCTAACGCGAAGAGATGATATGTTGGGGAAGCAAGCGGTTAGCTGGATAAATTGCACGCTCTGCAGGGAGTCATCACATAAAACGGTGAGAGCCGTGATACCAGGAAGCAACAGCGGAGGTATACGGGCAGGGATGTCGCTACTGTCCACATCTTCGTCCAAGTCTTCATCTGACCAGGTGAGCGCCTTCAGATTCGTGAGTTCCAGCAGGAGTGGTAGCTTGGTGAGATGGAGAGAGATGGAGAGTGTGTGGACGAATGCAGCTATATCAGGATGCTCGCTCAAAAGGGACTCTAGCCGTGTACTGTTCCGTGCATGCAGCCGTCGCCAGAAGAACTTGCGGGACAGCGGACGCAACGCTTTGCAGGTAAGGCCGCAAGCCCTCAAGGATTTCTTATCGTCCGATAGAAAAGCGATGGTATGGTCGCACAACTCTTGCGGAAGCTTTTGAATACCGATGACGTCTACAGGGAAGAGTGGCGGGATTGAGCACCGAAGCTGAGGCATCAACACGATCTCTGTGATAGCTCACTTCCCGTGGAGGCTCCTTGCAAGGCCTCCTTGTGACTGAAGTCTTGCGAACTGAATGACTTGGGCACCTGTGAGTATATGCATTGGACGTTCGTGACACTGAGCGAACACGGCACGACGTACCGTCGGGTCCACATTAGATCTCATGGCCAATGCTGTAGTGTCGTTTGGAACGAAACGATGCACTGGAATGGCTAGCCTCTTTCGAGCACGTCAACGTAAGAGAGAGAGGAGAAAGAGACCAAAGAGTGAGAGTCGCGGTGATGCCACGATCAGATTCACGTGCAGGTGGTCAGTAGCCCGCGACCCGCGACGGCGTCACTGTCATCACTGCATACTAACCTCACTCCCCCCACCCTCCCCTCCTCCTCCAACACTTGCATGTCCATGTTCGACAGAATCAAGCAAGGTGCTCAGAAAGCCAGCAGGCAAGCCACCCTCCTTGCACAGCAGGGTTCCAGCAAGATCGCGAGCGAGTCAGCGCAATTCGTGCATGGGTTCAGCCTCCCCGGCGAGGCAGACAAGGCAGCCAAGAGCCTCGCCAGCTTTCTTGGTACGTCACATAGCACGTCTGGCCTCAACGCTGCTCACAGCCGGGCAGCCAACCCAGAACACCCCGAATCTGCACTCAACTCGGTCCCCAAGGCCGTGCTACAGCGCGCGCGAGGTAAGCACCCCCTCCCGGAGCCCATCGCCGCCCAGTCCCAACATACCCCACCGCAGGACTCGCCGTCTTCTCCGTAATCAAAGCGGGCTTCGTGTTCTCAGGCAAGGCAGGCTCGGGCATTGTCATCGCGCGGCTCCCGGACGGCTCCTGGTCTGCACCGTCGTGCATCGCCACAGGCGGCGTCGGCTGGGGCCTCCAGATCGGCGCCGACCTCACCGAGTTCGTTATCGTCCTCAACAGTGAGGATGCTGTCCGTGCGTTCTCTATGGGCGGTAACGTCACCATCGGCGGCAATGTCAGTGCTACCGCGGGTCCTATCGGCACCGGCGCGGCCGTCCAGTCCACGCTTGCGCACCCGGCTCCGATGTTCTCGTATTCCAAGTCGAAAGGTACGCCGCGGCACTCAGATCTGTGGTTCAAGTTTGCTAAAGTGAGACACCGTGGGCAGGACTGTTCGCCGGCCTCTCGCTGGAGGGGACCGTACTCATCGAGCGCAAGGATGCGAACCGCGAGTTTTATGGCTCGCCGGTATCCGCGTCTGACATCCTGAGCGGCCGCGTGCCGCCGCCCGAGGTCGCCTCCAGGCTATATGAAGTCATCGAGGCCGCCGAGGGCATCGACGAGAGTGGCCTTCCTGATAATGCATACGTCCCCACCGCTGCGGGCGACCACATGAATGTCCATAGCGGAGGGACTGTCTTCGACGCTGATGGGCACTAGGTCGTATTGTAACACAAGGAAGGGATGTGTACGACTAGGGGACGACGCCACGCCGATTACCTTTCATTCTCGTTACTTCAGCCGTCTTTGCTGTATTGTAATAGCTGATGCTTCTGTGCTTAATGTTACCATTTCTACGCTTCCACGTTTCGCCTCCGCATCCCGTCTTCTTGGCTGAACCTGAACTAACTCATTAAATGGGTATTGGAAGATATGTCTACATCGTGTAACAAGAACCCATCTAGGATGTCCTTCCGTCAATACAACTACAGCCTCCACCTCCTCGCTGACCTGCAGCACCTCCTCGAACTCTGGGCTAGAAGTACTGATCCCAGATCCCCTTGGTCCCATTCGTAGGTGCAGCGAAGCTCTCGACACCAATGAGCTTGATCATGAGGTTGTAGATATTGACGTTCTCAAACGTGTCCATGACGTACGTGTCATCCGCGGTCGAGTGCCAGCCCTTGTTCGGGCGCGCGAGCCAGCGCGGAAGGAGCCCGCGTGCCTCCTCGCGGTCTTGCGCGATCGCCTTGACCACGGCGGAGAACGGCCCATGCGCAACGAACATCGCGTGCATCGCTGGCTCGTCGTTATCGTATCCGTGGTTCTATGCGTAATCCGTCAACTCTGTAGAATGATGCGAAGCAGGCAGGGAGCACGCACCCCCTTGCTCATACCAGAGCCGTTCTCAATGTGGTTCGTGAGCGCGTAGCCCATACGCGGTACGATGTACATTGGCGCGATCCGCTCGTTCTGCGCGAAGTGCCACCGCTCGGGCATCGTGTCGTGCGTGTACACGTCGAACTTGCCCCCGCTCGCCTCAGACGCGTTCAGAAGCACGCGCAGGTGCTTCTCGGCGTCGGTCTCGGGCTTGAAGCGCAGCCCCATGGACGGCCAGCCTGTGCCACAAGAGTTAGACTGAGGGCTACGTGCGGTGTGACAGGAGACGGAGACGCACCGTCTTCGTGCTCAATCATGCTGAAGCCGTCGCCGAGGATGTCGTCAACGTAAATCCACTCTGGGTCACTCGTGTCCGTCATCCCGTGGTCACTCACGAAGACAACGTCAAAGATGTCCGTTAGGTTGCGTGCCTCCAATACGTCGTGAAGGTCCCTTGCGAACACGTCTACCTGGTGCAAAACTTTCTGTATTGATGCTCAACATGCACTCAACCATGTGAATATTAAGTTAGTCTTACGTTGACAAGCTCGGACGCGGGGCCGGCTAGGTGCCCTGCTTGGTCTAGTGATGGTTCGTACGCTGTGGACACGATGAGTCTTTCTCTACAAAATGAAGCAGGACGCCATACCCATAATAAGTTGCGGTCGTTCTTCTATGGGCAGGTCTATCCAGGCAATGATCTGGTCAAGCTTCTCCTTCAACGGCACTTTATCCTAGTACATAATCAGGTTCTGAGCAGACAGCGGAGGTACATCGGGATACGTACCTTCCATGGCACAAAGTACGAAGGGGAGAACCCTGTCGCTGTCGTAGGCGGCCCGGGCCTGACATGGCATTAGACACCCTTTGAACGTATCTTATGCGCCGCGCATATACATACCACATTAGATTGGCAGTTGTGATACCCGCACGTTGTGCGGTCGCCCACATCTGTACAGCAAGTCGTCAGTTCAGCAGCAGTAAGGTCGCTTGCCAATAATGCGGACGAACCGGCTCTCCAGACCACCAGTGCGACGGCCATGAAGTCGACTGGCCCTTGTAGTCGAACACGTCCCCGGTAGAGGGATCCCAGAAGTTCTGCAATTCATCAATTACATCGACTTCGCGGGTCGTAGTGGTAAAACCTACATTCGCAACTATCCCGTGCGACTCGGCGTACAAGCCTGTCCTGTAGACACGTCAAACACGGCGTTCCTGAGTAACTAGACCTTGGCCGTACATCAGAGCCCAATGGTTTCTAGAGAGATGTGAGCCGCTATTGAGCTACGCCAACAAGAACAATGGCACATCGTTACTTACGGAAACGTTAGAGTCTGTACAATGACACAGAATCAGTGACACTGGATATATGATACTGGTTGTTGGAACATACAGGGAACACCGGCTTCATGGACTTCGCACGCAAGCCCTTCTTAGCAATGGCCAATAGGTGGGGGGTAAGTCCGCGGTCAAGGTAATCCGCTCTGAAGTCATGTAAGCGTGAAACAGATGCAGTGAGTGCAGCAGTACGCACCTAAGCCCATCTATTGACACGATGAGCGCACTCTTCTTGAAATAATGCGTGCCATTGCTATGAAGCAACCTATTGTCGAAGTCCGGCTTCTGTTTCGGGCGAGGCCAGATGGTGTGTAGCAGCGGCCTCACAAAGAGTGCGCCGAGGAGAATGACGATGAACCCGACACTAATGCCTACTATGCAGTTCCTTGTTCTATTCGGGCGTGGCGGGATTTGGGTATCGTCTTCGAATGTTCGTTCGTCAGCGGATAGAAGGCCTCTGCGTTCCTCGTCGGGGTCCACGATCAGGCTGGTGCCCTCCTGTGACGAACGAGGGGCGATATCGCTTGCACCACCCTTGCCCATGTCGTCGCTTCGTTGATGAGCAGCGGTATATTATTCTTAGGATGCGTCACGAACAAGTAGAGGGAGAGCAGAGGGCACCCGGGGTGCGAGCGGGGTTCGACTGTCTAAGAGTGTCTGAGCCACCGAGCAGTGTTCGCTAGATTCGCGCGGCTGTGGCGGGCGTGATGTCTGATTACCTAAGCCCATAGCCGATACTGTCCCCGCTGTGACAGTGCACTGTCCAATGGGATCCTGAGAGCGAGCAGTCTCCTCGAAATCCATCAAAAACATACTGAACAAAAGATTGTAGACTAGCCCACCGCGAGGGTCGAACTCGCAGCCTTCAGATTGCACCGACATTAGGTCAGGATAAGAGTCTGACGCTCTATCCGATTGAGCTAGGCAGGCTATGCATGTGACCTCGCTTGTATCATGTCTACGCGCTTCGACGCTTCGTATGGTTGGGGTCAATTCGTCTCAGGTCTGCGCGACTATTTCGCCAAGTGAGGTGCGCCAACATGGGTTTCTCAGAACTGACTCTGACCTGCTCTTTCGCCTTGTCCCTTTCCGCTTTGTGTTCAGTGTCTGCAACTACTACTGGTCCATTCGTGCATTCCTGTGTCTTGCGCCGAGAATATTATTTGTCAACAGCCTCGGTCAATGGTGATGGGCGTTCTGCATTGATCGGCTTGGACGAGGGCGCACGGCCGTCCTATCAACGAACTGATTATTCATAGTGAGTGTCCCTAGCAGAACCTGGCGCGCGCAGCGTTGGGCTCCACCTTGCGCAACCTGAAGAGGAACGGCACGAAATTGAAGAGGGTGAAAAACTTCGATACATGCCCTTTCAACGACGAGAATTCCTCGATTGGGGTGGTCTGAAGTGATCGCATATGTGGTACTACTAGGGATCGTACATCCTAATATGGTCCGGTACGCTCACTTTTTGGCTTACCGTGTTACAACGAATGACAATACACCTACCAGGAGTCCGAGAGGAAGACGTACGAATACGTCGTCATCGGTTGCACACACTTCCAATCCTGCGAGTGATCTCCTTACTCACAAGGGTAGTCTCGCGCCGTGATGCAGTCTGCGCATGCTATCTTGACTCAGGTGATTGCAGTCGGAGGCGGTGGTTATTTTATAGGTGCGCCCCGACCCGCCTATCGTAGGCCGTGGTGCTTAGCCTTTGGTCGCCAAAGGGCTGGCTTGTCTACGGAGTCAAATACTGCGGACCGTGGTGGGTATCGCACGATTACTCATAGCAGACGCTAATTTTCGGGAGCTTGCAGCATATGATTTTGGCAGTCGACGCGCGTTTATTTTACTCCTACCTCACCATGTACTGACATCGGCCATTAGGTAGATCTCTTGACGGCGTTTCGAGCTTCATCTACTCAGTCATAGCTCAATGACGCCTTGTCTTCCCTCTTTATGTGCAAGGAGGTCGACTACATAGGGGGCAAAGAAAGACGCCTCCGGGTCTGCCCTAGTCAACTACCTACTGGATTGCCGGTTCATTAATCAACTGTTGTGCCCAAATGTATAGCGGCACTTCTGCAGTGGTTACTCTATGCGCGCAGCGGTCGGCAGCGTTTCTCCGGTCCCGTCAGCGGACTCTACTAAGCGGACAGTCGAGAGAGTTATCGTATATATACTCACGGTGAGATTTGACCCATTCATTCTCGGAACCCTCTCACAAAGCGCTCCCATGTTGTCACTTACTCCAGGTCTACGGCTACTATTCCGGCTGCTCTTGAGCCTCGTAATACCCGCAGTGGTAATTTTCGGCGTCGCCCACATGATCCAACGATACTTCCCGTACGACGTGCCCAACTGGGCACTCCTTTTCGCCTGGGTCGCATACCTACTGGTGACCATCGTCTTCCGCTCTCTCTATCAATGGATACAGGAAGAACGCGACATTCGTCTTCTTGGTGCTGTCCGCATCCCGCAGCTCAAAGGGTGGCTACCAGGCAACTTGGACGTCGCAGGGCAACTCATGATAGCAGACGACGTATACATGTGTAAGACATACTATCTGATGCCTTGAAACATTCAACAACCTCACCGTTATTTGATTTGGAAGTCGAGCGGATTGAGAAATTACAGGAAAGGCACGGTGGTATTTTCTGTATTAAGCTCTTAGGACAGAACAAGGTATTTCCTGACCATCTGACTCAGGACATGAAGACTGGTAGTGACTGTTCGTAGATATTTACTACTGACCCCAACCATATCAAGAGCATCCTAGCGACTGACTTCAACGCCTGGGAGAAAGGTGCGTATATATTGCGCTATGTGGGATGCTCCTAATCGAACGCAATGTCAGGTCCGCAGTTCAGGGAAGACATGGCCTCTGTTCTCGGATCCGGTGTTTTCAATGCCGACGGCAGTGTATGGAAGTGCGTACACCCTGTACGCACAGAAGCGTGACACTGACAGTCGTTCTTCAGGTTTCACCGATCACTCGCCAGGCCCTTCTTCGCCCGGGATCGTATCACGGACTTTGAGACATTTGCGCGCCATGCCGACGAAGCCGTTGCCGTCATACGCGCTCGACAGGGCCTCCCAATCGACTTCCAGGACGTGTTGCAGAGATTCACTCTTGACTCCGCAACGGAGTTCCTGCTAGGAAAATGTGTTCACTCTTTGCACTCTCTGCTCCCCGCGACATATGGGAAGCGGGAGCTCGTCTCGGCAGCTGCAGAAGCCTTTGGTCCTGCTCTCAACAGAGTGCAGGAGCGGCTCTCTTACCGCAGAGAGATGCCGCTTTGGCCTCTGTACGAGACATTCGGGGATAAGACCAAGTGCGACTATATGTTTCATTCTCGCGCGCATCCGGCGCTGACCACGCGTATTTCTTTTTAGGAAGGATATGCAGATTATCGGCGAGTTTCTTGCTCCGATCATACAAGCCGGCCTGGACAGGAAGGAGAACAACGAGAAGATGACAACAGAGGATGGGGTTAGGAAGCCCGACACTGCTCATCACGTCATGCTGGACCAGCTCTTGGAAGTATCGGATGGTGAGGCTTCAAATCTTCCCCTTGACCCCGCCCACCGTCTCTGACAAGCAACCCGTAGATCCCAAGCTGATTGCAGACGAAGTCCTGAACATTCTCATTGCAGGACGAGACACCGTGCGTCCTGCTGGAGTCCCTGCATACTCACACTGGATGGCGGCCCTGTTCTGACACTTGCCCGATCTTAGACATCAACGACGCTCACTTACCTTGTCTACCTGTTATCGTTGCACGCTGATGTCCTCAACCGTCTACGTGAAGAGGTGTTGTCTCGAGTTGGTCAGACACGCTGCCCTGACTCCGAGGACATGAGAGAGATGAAGTATATGCGCGCGGTCATCAATGGTGTGTATCTGGGATGTGAATTATCCCCCAGACGTTTCCTAATTGTGCATCTTCAGAAACAATGCGACTCTTCCCCGCCGTCCCTGCCAACATTAGGTGCGCAATACGAGTGCGAGGAAGTACGTTGAATCCTGCCTGACGTATGGCATTCTCAGGACGAGCGTGCGGGCCACGACACTGCCGTCCAGTGTTCCGGGAGGCAAGCCATACTATGTACCTGCTAATAGCGAGTGCGTGTACTTGCTGTTGTGTTTATCACACAGTTACTCAACACGTGCGTCTGTCATCAGGGTCGCTTACTTCGTCTGGATGATGCAGAAGAACAAGGATATATGGGGACCAGATGCGGAAAAGGCGGGTCTTCTTGACAATGCTCACTACGAAGCATCGAGCTAAGAGTTTTAATGCAGTTCGATCCCAGTCGGTGGTTGGATGAACGACTCCAGAAGCATGTGCTCTCCAACCCATTCAATTTCGTGCCGTTCAACGCAGGTATGTATGCACACAACTACCCATTTTATGCTGAGGTTCATGAACCCGTGTGTGTAATAAAGGGCCGCGGATTTGTCTCGGGCAGCAGGTAAGCCCGACCTTTACTCATCATTGCGCACAGTATCAATCAGACGTCATACCCCTTAGTTCGCGTACAACGAGATGACCTTCTTCCTCGTCCGTTTCCTGCAAACATTCGATCACATGGATCTCGCCTTTGATGCGCAGCCCGCCGATGCACGGCCCCCGGTCGAGTGGGCGAGCGGAACTGGCCGGAAGGCTATGGAGAAGATCATCCCGAAGAGTCTGCTGACGTTGTTTGTCAAGGTGAGCCGACGAAGTGACGTGTAGCACACGCGGTATTTTGCTGAATTATGTTCTGGAGGGGGGGCTCTGGATGCGATTCGAAGAAGCATCCAACCAGGCTTAAGGAAACTCACCGGTCACCTCTCTACAGCCTAATAGTTCTGAGGACTAGCTCACCATCAAGTGCAGTCAATGTGATGCATCTGTTATTGATTATTGTACCGAACCTAAGACTAAGATGGGTGGGTAGTGTGGCGCCTGCCTAAGGATAATCGCCGTCTTCGCTGCCACTGCTTTGCGACTGGGCCGGACCTCCTGCAGCAGTTCTCACACGAAGCTTCACTTTGACATAGCACGAACTTCATGTGACTGCCGATGAAGTAAGTACTATAGTACTATCAACACACTCGTTCCTGAATTTCAAGTCCTCAACACTATTGGAAAGATGCAGCTGCGAGTTTCATGGAAAGGTATGGATGGTCTCTTGCTTGTTGTTCTGTACTGCGTCGAAGCTTGAGACTTGAGGCTTGCCTTCAGCTGAAGTACCGAGGGATCTCAAGTAGGCTGTATAATGTTACCATGAATATGGGCCCGGTGCACTAATAAAGAGGAGCGAGCGCGTAAGTACTGGCAGCCTGAGAGGGCGACAAGGAAGAAGGGAATGAGGCTAACTGGCAACATCAAATAGAACATGTTCCCGCTTACGACTACAACGTCCTATATGGGTCACAACATGAGGTGAGGCTTATTGGTCACCGGTTAGATTGGAAGAGTCATTCACTTGATATGCTCTCGCCGAAGGGAGGGGCCTGACGATTGTGTAGCAGGAAGGGTATCAGCATTCACTTGCACTATCATGCCATCTGTGCTGTCAGTATACGAGCAATGTGTTCCCTGGTGTGAGTATGAGTATGACGAGAGGGGCCACTTCTTCGAGCTCATTTGCTTTCTTTCTGCACGCGTTCAACGTCAGCCCTCGACCCACCGCGGCGGCCGCATCGAAAGGCTATCCAGAAAAGTTCATCGCCGGTATACGTAAAGACCGGGTGACCAATACCAAGTAGCACGCTAGGTCGCTCGACAATTCTTCCGTCAGGGCGGTCTCGAGAGGGCGTTGAGGTGAGTGATACCAGCTCATTTGCAGCCATGATAGAGTATGATGTCCCCCATACTGTATACGCGGGTTACCGGGCTCGCCTCGAGCGCGGCTATCCTCAAGGTCCTGTTAGTGAATGC